TTTTATAGCTTTGTATACTTCACACCTGTGGTCAGCAAAACCTGGACCAAGCCAACACTGAGCACACAACCTTAGCAACTACAGAAGGAAATTTCTCTTTCTTGACTTGGTCCCAAGGGCAACTTTACCCCCCCCTCCCCCCAGTGTATGGTGGGGAACATTGGGCAATGCACCACACCATCATTTGCAAAGTTTCTAAAACCTGCTGCCATTGGAAAAGGAGAACAGAGGGCTGGGATGGGGTTGGGTGGGAGGGAAGACAAGGAGGTTGTGAGCCCAGCCCAGAGTGGTCACTGCCCAAGGAGATTCTGCTTTCAAGAGGACAACGGCAACTGTGTGGGTAGATCTTCAGCCACAAAATGGCGGCTGGCTTTTTTGAAGGCCCTGGTGAGACAACACAATTACAGCTTGCTTTACGGAGAAAATATTCCCTGTTTCCAACCCAGAAAGGTCCAGTAGCATCCTCAGAGTATCTTTTAAGGCAGGGGTCTCCAACCGCGGCTACTTTTAAGACTTGTGGACTTCGATTCCCAGAATTCCTCAGGCAGCATGGCTGGCTGAGGAATTCTGGGAGTCGAAGTCCACAAGTCTTCAATTTGCCAGGTTTGGATAGCCTTATTTTAAGGGCATTTCTTATAAGGCACCATTTAACCTCCCAATGAACCTCTGTTGGGTGGGTAGGGGGCAGAGGTGGAATTTGTTTTTTTTTTTACTACTGGTTCTGTGGGCGTGGCTTGGTGGGTGTGGCAGGAGGAGGACACTGTAAAATCTCCAGTCAGGTGGTATTTGCTAGTTCTCTGAACTGATCAAAACTTCCACTACCGGTTCTCCAGAACCGGCCAGAATCTGCTGAATACCACTTCTGGTGGGGGGCAAAATCAGTGAAATGAATACAGGCAGTCCTTGACTTACAACCACTTGTTTACTGACTGTTCGAAGTTATGATGGCACTGAAAAAAGTGGCTTATGACCAGTTTTCACACTTAAGACTGTTGCAGCATGATCATATAATCCAAATTCCAGTGCTAGGCAATTTACATGTATTTTTTTTACTTACTTATTTAAATTTCATATTTCTAAACTGTCCATTCCCTCAGAGAGGGAATATATTTATGACAAGTTGGGGTCACGTGATCAACATTGGGAGTGGGAAGACAGGTTTGTTTAACAACTGCATGATTCACTTAACAACTGTGGCAATATGCTTAACAATGGTGGCCAAAAAGAGGTCATAAAATGGGGCAAAACTCTTTTAACACTTGCCTTGCTTAACAATGACTATTTTGGGTTCAATTCCGGTTGTAAGTTGAGGACTACCTGTACTACAAAGGAAGTCAAGGCTCTGTCCATCAGCAGATAAAATCTCCAACCCCAGAACAGAACAAGTCCAAAATTGCTGGAAGAAAAAAGAAAAAAAAAGAGACTGAATTTGGAACTGGGCCAAAATCCAGCCTGGAATTGCAGAGAATTGAAATAGAAACCTTCTAAAAATATCTCATTGTAGAGATATCTTGGGTTGTGCAGGCAAGCCCTCAACATACGAACACGAGACAAAATTTCTGTTACTAAGCAAGGTGGTTGAAAAGTGAGTTGTGTCTGTTTTTATGGCCATTGTCGTAGTTGTTAAGTGAATCACACAGTCGTTGGGCAAATCTAGCTTTTCCCAACAGGTAACCAGAATGGAGACCAGAATTTTCATCGCTAAACAAACTTAAGTGAGTCTCACCCGATTTTACAATATTTTCTGCAGTGTTTGTTAAGTGAATTATTGCGGTCCTTAAGCAAATCACCTGGTCATTAAGTGAAACTGGCTTCCCCTGTTGCTTGGCTTATCGGAAGCCAGCTGGGAAGATTGCTAATGGCAATCTCGTGATCCCCTGGGACACCGTAACTGTCATAAATATATGCCAGTTGCCAAACACCCAAATGTTGATCACATAACCGTGAGGATGCTGCAACAGTCATAAGAGCGAGGATCTGTTTTACGTCTTTTTTTTTTTTGATGTGGTTGCAAATGAATGGTTGTGACTAGCTGACCTTACCAGTCTGAGTACCCTTGCTCCCAATTGTGTGACTTGCAGCAGAGCTGTTATTAAGCAGTTGACAAACTTTCCCTATTTTGTGTGAAACAGAAACGACAACATCAGCAAAAACTCTCATCAGGCTGCAGCTGTGCCCTCCTTGCCAATCCTACCTCTGAATTTGGGCAAAGGGGCAAATAAACCAGGTTTGGATCCAAGTCGGCTGCTGCTCATTACACAATTAATGGTGGTGTTCCAAAGTGGAAATATCTGTGGGATAGGCTAAGCCAAAATATCTATGGGATAGGGCAGTATCCCAAAAAGCCTACTCAATCCAGGTGCTTCACACAGCCTGCCAACTACAAGGACTCATGTGACACATCTAATCTTCGATCAGAAACTGGAGCTTTGGCGCGTGGGGTCTTGTGAAGTTGGAGTGAAGTGCAGGGATTTCAATCACACACTATCTAGGCCATGGGTCCCCAAACTTAGCAACTTTAAGGCTTGTGGACTTCAACTCCCAGAATTCTCCAGCCAGCTTAGCTGGTTAAGTTGTAATGCTATTTGTTTGTTGTGGTCTTGCGAGGTCAGAAATTCCAGTTTGTGGGCTTAGTGCCATTTGTGAAGTTAGGCCAGGGGTCTTCAAACTTGACAGCTTTAAGACTTGTGGACTTCAACTTCCAGAATTCCTCCTCCAGTCATGTTAGCTCAGGAACTCTGGGAGATGAAGTCCACAAGACTTAAACTTGCCAAGTTTGAAGACCCTTGAGTTAGGCCACCGTAGCTTATCGAATTAACCATGATGAAACAAGAGGCGCCTTAGTCCAACGTGTAAACCAAACCACTGGAGAGTCTAGCTGCAAGATCACACCTCTTATCCAAATCTTTCCACCTCTAAAATCGAATGGATTTGTCCCTAAGCTCATTCCTTCCCTTCCTTCCTTCATTTCGTATACAGGTAATCCTCAGGTTATGGGCCGTAATTGAGCCTTGCAAAGTTGGTTGTAAATTACGACCATCATAAAGCGGGTCATCGTGTGATTTTGACAATCTTTTTTTTGAAATAAAGCAAAGTCATTGTTCACTACGGGGCGTATGTTTCTGGAAGAACGATGAAACAACGTAAAATTGTGGTCATGTGCTGCCAACGGTCATAAATGCAATCCAGATGCTGAATACCTGAAATAGGGCCACGTGACTGTGGGACAGGGATGTGGGGGGGGGGAGATATTGGAACTTTGGAAGTGGGTTATTTTAACTTTGGGGCCCTGTCATAACTTTGAATAGTCAGTAAGCAACTGGTTGTAAATTAAAGACTACCGGTGTTGCATTTATAAGCCCCCTTTACATCGTCTTCTGCTACCCTGGTTAGATAAGTTAGATAAGTTCAGGGTAGGTCAGGAGGAAGAAAGGAGTTGGGTTTAAGAAACGTTTTAGAGCAGTTTCACAACCTCAGCCACTTGAAGACGTGTGGACTTCAACTCCCAGAATTCCCCAGCCAGCATAGCTGGCTGGGGAATTCTGGGAGTTGATGTCCACACATGCAGAAAGGCAGACACCACAGAGGAAAGGGACTGAGGGAAGGAACAAGGGAGATTCAGGACGGCCAAGTCAAATCCCCCATTTTGTTTGCTTTAGAGATTTCCAAGCCAAACAACCCAAAACAGGATTTACTTCAGGCTTGGCTCAGAATCACCCGGGATCCATTTTCTGCCGATCCACCTTCTCACCAAAGAACGGCAGGGTGGGGAATAAATGCATTATAAGCCCCCAAGCCAATGCTTGGTTTTTGTTTTGTTTTTAAAGTGTGGAAATCGGTCGTTCAGGACATTTCGTCTGCAGGGAGGGTACCCCAAAACACCCACCATTTTGGAACTCGGCAGCTCAGCACCCCTCAAACTACTACAGGCCACATGGGGTTGTTGCCTCTTCAGTTGCATTGTGCTGGTTTCTCCTTCCCCGCTCCCAGCCGCCCGCCCTCCCAAACCCGAGCTTTCTTTATGAACAGAAAAAAAAACCAAGATTTACAAATTACACTTTCCCAGTTTTAGACCTGCGTAAATAATCCTTCTGTTCAGACAACCCTCCCTCCCACCCCCTTGAACACACACAGAATACAGTCCAGAGTTTCGATTCGTCTTGAGGGCATCCATCTTCCACAGTCTTTTCTTGGAGATATCGAGGAAGGGAATGCCCAGAAGTGTTGAGATGCTCTTTTATTAATATATTTTTCTTCTTTTTCTTCTTCTTCTTTTCTTTCCTTTCCTTTTCTTTTCCAAACTGGCAGTGAGCCTGCGATACCCATGGAATATGACACAAAGAAATCTGAAGGAGTAACAGGTTTTGGCATAACAGTATTCTAGTCCTCAAGGTTTTTTGTTTTTGAAGATTTTTTTTTTGTTAGTTGGTGGCTCTCTTCGTTAAGGGGTTTCCACCGTCACAAAACGTAATTTGGTCACCGCGAGAGGTTCATGTTCCCTTCGCCTGCTGAATCATCATATTCAAGCCAAAAAGAAGGAAATAAAAAACCCACCTCAAAGGGAATGTAAAGGATGTCCTTCAAACCCACCCGTCCCTTCTCTCCAAAGAAAAAGGAAAAAAGAGGCACCAACGCAGAGGGTCGTTTTTTGGTTTCTCCCATCCACCCCCATTGTGATGTCTCTTTTTTGAGTTCCAGTTGTGGAAAAAAAAGTCTAGAATACACACACACGCACACACACGCACGCACATACCCTCCAAAAAAAACCGCCCCCAAACAAACCAGAAAAGGTTAAGCTGAGAAAAATAAGGAAAAAAAAAAAAAGACTATATTTGGTCTAGAGATTTTAAAAAAGAAAAAAAACTCCACAGGGGGGATTAATCTAAAGAGGCGGAGGGTGTTTTTACACCAGCTGGCTTGATAGAAGTCTGTGGAAGATTTTTTTGAAATATAAAACCAGCTCAGCTCCCCGTGTCACAGGTTGTTGTTCTTTTAAAAAAAAAAACCGAGCCTTCCCCCCTCGCCTTCCTCTGTACTGTATCAGACATGTGGGGGGGCAGGGTTGGCTCAGTTTGGGGTGCTTTTTTTTTTTTTCAGGAGACACAAAGGCAAAAAGACCAGGGCCATTTCTTTGCCTGACGCTGGCAGAGACCAGAGATCAAAATCCTTGCAACACCCCCCCCTCCGCCCCAAGTGTATCATTTCTGATCCGGTAACAAACACCCGCCCTGTTCACTCCTCTTCTTCCTCTCATTCTTTCCTCTGATATGGTTTCCCCCCCACCCCCGCTCCCCTTGGTTTTTGCAGCTGCCGCTGTAAAAGAACACCCGCCCCCCCCTTTTTCTCGTCTGCCATTCTGCCGGGGGGCTAGGAAGCGAGGATAGTCCAAAACATCGGCACCACCACGAAGAAGGCATCGGGAACGGTGAAGCTGCAGCAGGAATTATTGCTGGTGAAAATGGGCTCTGGCGATTCGTAGAGGGAATCGTCTGCGGGGAGAAAGGAAATAAAAAAGAAAGAGTTGGATTTAGTTGTTGTTGTTCCGGAGAAACCCACTCCAAGTAATGCACCCATAGAAAGCAGAACTCTGCAGGCAAGTTCCTCAAAGAACAATTTATTGGATACATCCTATTGGCACAACTGGTGGAAAACCGACTCTGAAAGCCTTAGTAAGACCACACCTGGAGTACTGCATCCAAGGGTGGGATTCAAGATTTTAACAACTGGTTCTGTGGGCATGGCTTAGGTGGTGGGTGTGGCTTGGTGGCATGTGACTGGGTGGGTGTGGCTTGGTGGTCATGTGACTGACTGGGTGTGGCCAACTCAACATCACTCACATTGAGGCATGCATCTCCTTGCCTGGCCTCTCGTGACTGTGGGGATGCTGCAACAGTCGTAAGTGTGAAAAATGGTCATAAGTGATTTTTTTCAGTGCCATTGTAACTTTGAATAGTCACTCCACATAAGCAAAGTACCAGCGAAGGAGGGGAAAATAACTCCAGAGAAGTTCCTGAGACAGGAAGTCTAGTCCTGCCAAGAATGTAATAAGGGTTAACGGAGAGGAGAGGCAGTTTCTGTAAGCAACACCAGAATGTTTCCTTCCTGACTTCCTTACAGGATTAGGCCAGTAATTTATTCTAACAACCGGTTCTCCGAACTGCTTAGAATGTTAACAACCGGTTCTAGTGAATAGGTGCGAACTGGTAGAATCCCAACCCTGGTTGCATCCAGTTTTGGTCACCACATTATAAAAAAGATGTTGAGACTCTAGAAAAAGTATAGTGAAGAGCAACCAGGATGATTAGGGGACTGGAGACTAAGGCATATGAAGAATGGTTACACGAACTGGACATGGCTAGTCTAGTGAAGAGAAGGAGCAGGGGAGACAGGACAGCAGTCTTCCAATATTTGAGGTGCTGCCACAGAGAGGAAGGGGTCAATCGCCTGTAGGCCAGACAAGGAATAATGGATGGAAACTGACCAAGGAGAAATTTAACCTGGAAATAAAGAGAAACTTTCTGACAGTGAGAACAATCAACCCATGGAACAGAAGTTGCCCTCGGAAGTTGTGGGAGCGTCATCACTAAAGACCTTCAAGAAGAGACTGGACTGCCCTCTGTCAGAAATGGTGTAGGGTCTCCCGCTTGGTCAGGGGGTTGGACTAGATGACCTACAAGGTCCCTTCCAACTATGATTATCTGTTATCTGAAAGTTCCCGCAGCTTTCACCTATTTTTTTAAAATAATTTTTATCACAGATTCAGCTTTATTGATCTGAAGTTAGAATTCTCACGTTAGAATTATAGTCCAAAACTGTGATTAGCCACACTGTTCAATAAAAAAATTAAAAGGAGCTGCAGAAAGGCCGCTGGAACCCTGAAATAGCTCCAAACTACTGTCATACATAGATCCCAACCCACAGCAATAAGAAGAGAACTCCAAAGCCCATGATGCTACTAGAGAGATGAGTAGTTCTTTGTAAATGTACCGGGTATACTTGGTGAATCGTAAACAAAGCTGTGAAGAACATGCCAATGGCCAGGAACACCACAGTGAGATGTGGAAACATAGCTGGATTCACCGGACTGGTGTATCTGCTCATTGTTTCAAGCTTCATGGCTGCATTGGCGGCAGCTCTCGTTACAGAAGGACATGTCCGGCCTTTTCTGCCATCCTCACTCTGCTACCTAATTAAAAGATAAAAGTTTCCCCTTTCCCCCCAAGTCGGTGGTCACGCTGTCCAATCAAGGTGCTGGACGGTTGCGTGGTTACTTCACTCCTCCTCTGGCCAGCCACTGGTGATAATGTCCTTGGTTCCCACAGGAAAACGTTATTATTTTGGCTTCAAAACTCTAGATTTTTTTCCCCCTCCCTCTGTTGTATGGCGACCCTGAAGCCTCCAAGGTGGCCTCAGCCAGGTTCATTTCAGGGTTGACACTTCCTTTTCCATCCCTCAAGATCTCCAACCATCTCTTGTGCCCCTGTTGCTTGGCGTGATGGATAGAAAGAGGCAGATGGTTTTAACAAGCAACCAAGGGCAAAAGAGCAAAAAGCACAATGGGAAAACATAACGCGTGTCTACCAAGCATAGAACAATCATCACATCCCAATCATTCACATTTGACTGAATAACTGGACTTCAACTCCCAGAATTCCCCAGCCAGCACGTCTCATTACTCACCTAGGTAACATCATCAGTGCCAGTTGAGTATGGGGCTTGCTCCCTGTTTATATACAGTAGCTTGCCCTGCTGGTTTTTGTGGGGTGTGTGGTTTTCCTCCTTGGTAATTCCTTGATTGGAGTATTGTCTCCTGTTTGATTGTTTGTCTGGTGTTAATCCCTGCTTATCTGGGTGTTGGCTGCTGAAGAGGATGTGTCTATGGTCTGTTTCGTTTCCTTCTAAGCCTTTTTATTGTCTCCTTTGAATGGTTTGTAAATATAGCTTATCTCTATGCGTCTATTGATGGCTGATTTGTCCCAATGCCAAGCTTTCAGGAATTCCCTAATGTTTTCGGATTTAGCTTAGTCTACTCACAATTTCCCAGATGAAACTATAGTTGAGTCTGCCCGTGAGATTAAAGAGTTTCCATCGTATCTTCTGGCTGCTGTTTGGTGTTTGTGGTTGCACTCTCCACAATCAGACAGAAAGCAATACTCAAGTCACTCTCACAATCAAGTAAGAAAGCAACGCATGAATCAAGGGACCGTCAACGAAAAAAACGCTGACACTCCCACCAAAATGGGTAGAATCACAGAGTTGGAAGGGACCTTGGAGGTCTTCTAGTCCAACCCCCTGCTCAGGCAGGAGACCCTATACCAGCAGCCCCCAAATTTTTGGGCACCAGAGACTGGTTCTGCGGAGAGAGATTTTTCCCTGGACCGGAGTGGGTTGGGTTTGTGTGGCATTGGCGACCTTCTCAGTGGCCTCTGACATGCAACGTCAATGGGGGAGGATGGATTTGCTTAATGACTACAAGTAGTCCTCAATTTACAACAGTTCATTTAGTGACTGTTCAGAGTTACAACAGCACTGAAAACAGTGATGCATGACCGTTTTCCACAATTACAAACCTTGCAGCATCTCCATAATCATGTGATCAAAATTCGGACACTTGACAACTGGTTCATATTTATGACCATTGCTTTGTCCCGGGATCCTGTGATCCCCTTTTGTGACCATCTGACAAGAAAAAAAATTAATGGGGAAGCCAGATTCACTTAACAACCTTGTCACTAACTTAACGATCTGCAGTGATTCACTTAACCACTTAACCTGGCAAGAAAGCTCGTAAAATGGAGCAAAACTCATTTAACAAATGCCTCACTTAGCAACAGAAATGTTGGGCTCAATTATGATTGTAAGTCGAGGACTACCTGTATGTGATTCACTTAACTGCTGTGATTTTCTTAATAACCATGGCAAAAAAAAATTAGGCATGATTGATTTAACAATTGCCTTGCTTAGCAAATTCTGGTCCTAATTCTGGTTGTAAATTAAGGACTACCTGTAATCAATCTATCTATCTATCTATCTATCTATCTATCTATCTATCTATCTATCTATCTATCTATCTTTCTATTTATCGCCTCTCTCTCTTTCCCTCCCTCTCATCTGCCTGCCTGTCTTCTCTCTCTCTCTCTTCTCTCTCTCTCTCTATACCTATATACCTATATTGATATATTGCTTGTAAAGTGGGCAAGGAGAGGCCATTGCTAAGTCCCACGCAGGATATGCTTAGCAACAGAAATTCTGATCCCCATTGTGGCCATAAGTCGAGGACCACCACCTGTATGCATAGTTTCATGGACCCTAACAGGAAAAACAAAATAAAATCCTGAAATTAGAACATTCAAATCAACGGCACGCTTCAGTAAACTGGCTGCCTTCTCTATCGCCCTGCCCTCTGGGACACTTCGATGCCATCCAGTCTGCGCGGCTGGATCGGGGAGAGCAGAACGGTCCAGGGTCAAAACAGGCTGGCGAACAAGCTGCTTTTTCCAAGATCAGAAGCTCCCAATTTCCACCCCACTGGCCCCCAACGGAGACTCAGTTTCAAAATATGCGGGCGGCAATTTTCGCACGATGGCACAGAGCCAACTTCAAGATCTGCCAGCCAACTTGTAACAACAGGACATCTCCGGGGAGGGTGCCTGTTTAGGTTAGGTTTTGTTATGTCCTCCCCGGCCTTGGCTGGCAGTCAGCACCGACGCTTGGAAGGTCAGAGAGCAATTGTTTCATAGCGATCCAATAATCCTGTTTCCAAAAGACGCCTAATCAGCCAGCGATGCAAAAATGTCTTCGAGGGAATCCGCTAAATTACAGCCAAAGCCGTTTTAACGCCATTCCCTCAGCTCGGCTCCTCTTAAGTTTATTACTAGATTAAGGGTGGTTTTGGCAGACTCACAGCCTGGAAGAGAGATCTGGGGGTGGGGGGAGAGGGAGAAGAGGAACGGAGCAAAAAAAAAATAAAAAATTGGAGATGCAAATCCATCTTGGCACCAGCTTCGAATTCCTCCAATTCTATGGGACTAGCTTTTCTTCTTTTTGCCCATCTGCACCTGGACAATTTGCTGTCGTTTTATCAGACACATATTTTTTTTGTGGGGGTGGGGGGAAGGTTGTCCTGGCTTTCTTCTTCTGAGGGTTGAGAGAGAAGTACTGGCCCAAACTCACTTTCTTGGCTTTTGCACCTAAGGCAGGACTAGAACTCTCAGGCGCTTGGCTTCTAGTTACCTCTGTCCCCTTGAAATCCTGAATGAGAAGGAGGGAGAGAAGGAAGGAAGGAAGGAAAAGAGAAAGAGAAAGAAGAGAGAGAGAAAAAGAAAGAAAGAAAGAAGAGAGAAAAAAAGAAACAAAGACAGGAGAAAAAGAAAGAAAAGAAGAAAAGAAAAAGAAAGAAAAGGAAAGTAGAGAGAAATGAGAGAAAGAAAAAAGAAAGAAGCAAAGAAAGCAATGAAAGATGGAAAGAAAGAAAGAAAGAAAGAAAGGAAGGAAGGAAGGAAGGAAGGAAGGAAGGAAGGAAGGAAGGAAGGAAGGAAGAAAGAAAGAAAGAAAGAAAGAAAGAAAGAAAGAAAGAAAGAAAGAAAGAAAGAAAGAAAGAAAGAGAAACAGCCATAGGATACCTGTCCTAACCCTTGTGGAAAGCCACTACAAACACTTCATGAGGGGGAAAAAAACCTCAACAAAACAACCCGAGGGTTTCTTTCATATTTTTTAAAAAAGTCCTTGTTTTGTTTTAAAGCCAATTAAAATCACACAGACACACAAACATGCACATAGAGAGAAAGGAAACATCACCAACTCCACCCCCACCCCACAATCTCTTTCCCAATTCTGTCATTTCTGACTATTTGCACACTCCCTGGGAAGAACTGTGACCAAACATTAATTACATGTTAACAGGAGAAAATTATTAATTTGTGTTTTCTTTTTTCCCCAAACAGCTGCATGATTTGATTCTTTTTAAAATACCACCTGTTCAGAAAAAGCAGAAGGTTGTTGCTGTTTGTAACATTTTAAATGAAATAATTGGCTTTCTTTCCCCACTCCTTGATCCCAACAATGAAGTCAGCGGGTATTCCAAACTGCCCGGGGTTCATCTAAGTTTTTTTTTTCTCTCCTTTTCATGGATTTGTCTTCACCCCAACCTAGAATCAAATAATAATTTGGTGGAAATCTGCATGCCACTTGAGCCAACACTGGCGCTTAGTATTTCAGCTATTGCCAAGAAAACAAAAGGTGAGAGTTATCGGAAAGGGTGTGTGTGTGTGTGTGTGTGTGTGTGTGTGTTTGCGGGCCTGTGTGTCAAAAGGCCTTCACTAATTTAATCTCAAGGGCAAAACGTGCAAGGATGGGACAGTGTCCATTCTGCTTGAAAACAGGTTTTGAATTGTTGGTAATCAGGACTAAGCAACAACTGGGATGGGGATGCTATCTTGCCTTTTTTTTTTGAACTCCCACTGTGTAGGCCAGAGGTAGGGAACAATGTTCCCTTTATGACTTGTGGACTTCAACTCCCAGAATTCCATGGCTGGCTTGGGAATTCTGGGAATTGAAGTTCACAAAAGTCATAAAAGGGCCATCGTTCCCCGCCCCCGCAGACAAGACAAAGACTGATTCTTGAAATGTTTTAGTAGCCGAGAATAAGATTTCCGTTTTTGGGTAAGGTGAGAGAGTGAGGCCTACCTCTGAGGTGCTCAGAGAAGGGTGCCAGAGATACATTCCCATATTGTCCAAAATCAAATATAGGGTAAATTGAAGGAACGAGGTAATTAGAATGTCTATGGAGATTCCTAGTCATCCAGGTCATGGTTGTCCCAAAGATGTTTTTTCAAAAGGCCACTAGATTTTTTTTTTTCCTGGAATACGTTTCACTTCTCATCCAAGAATCTTCTTCAGTTCTGTCTTCAGAAGTAAAGAAGTTTCTTGGGTGAGAAGGAAAACATCTTCAAAGAAAAACAAACAGCGTTCAGCTGCCCTTAAGAAGAAGCACCTTTGGGACAAGCAAATTACAAGCCACCAGTATGTCATACATAGCATAACATTTATGCCATAGCATCATCATGGCCATGATATCATGTGTCCTGCTGAGAGGAACACCCACAAAATTGGGGATGTTTCATGTACGTGGGGCACTTGAAGTATAGCTGCATAAACTGCTCTGTCACTGGAGCTTTTCAAGAAGAGACTGGACAGCCATTTGTCTGAAATGACTTGAGCAGGGGGTTGGACTAGAAGACCTCCAAAGTCCCTCCCAAGTCTGTTGTTCTGTTACACTGTTATAAACTAACCATAAACTGGGTTTGCCTCAGAGGTGGTATTCAGCAGGTTCTGACAGGTTCTGGAGAACCGGTAGGGGAAATTTTGAGTAGTTCAGAGAACTGGCAAATGCCACTTCTGACTGGCCCCGCCCTCATCTATTCCCTGCTTCCCATTGAATCCCAGCTGATCGGCTGGGTCTTCTTTGGTGGCCCTGCACAGGAGAACGGAACTGGAAAGCAGGTTAGTGGGGTGGGGAGGGAATGGGGATTCAGTATCCTTTCCCTGCCACGCTCACCAAGCCATGCCCACAGAACTGGTAGTAAAAATTTTTTGAATCCCACCACTAGTTTGCCCATACAGTAAGTCAGAACAAACCCTAATCAACATGAAAACAAACCCAGCTAGCATGTTGGGTGAAGGCAGGCGGTAAGTCTGTCACTGATTTAAGTTCCAATATAGGCAGTCTTCGACTTGTAACCATTCATTTAGCAACTGTTCGACGTTACAATGCCACTGGAAAACAGTGACTTATAACGTGGTCCTTGCAACTCTGATCACAGTGATGTGATCAGAATTTGGCTGCTTGGCAACAGGCATGTATTTATGGCGGCTGCAGAGTCCTGAGGTGATCTGATCGTCATTTGTGGCCTTCCTAGCTGACTTCTGACAAGCCAAGTCAATGGGGGAAGCTGGATTCGCTTAAGGACTTCATGATTCACTTCACAACCGTGACAAAAACAGTCATGAAATTGGGTGCACTTCACTTAGCCAACGCTTTGCTTATTATGGTCTCAACTCTGGTCATAAGGAATCTTATCCCATTTCTGAAATAAGAATTCTGAACTCTTGGATCACCAAAAGATGGAATCGAGGGGGGGGGGGGGAAATCCTCTACCTAGAAGTGAGAATTTAAGATTCTTCTCTGGAGGAAACCGCTCCCTTCAGCTGCAGGCACAGACTCCCTCTGAATGTAGATCAACTTCTCCTTTCTTGAAGAATAGCGAGAGAAAACTTGCCACTGGCAAGGACCATGAGGAAACCAAGAACAATGCAGAACAGTCAACCAACACTGCAGAATAGCTGTTGGGTTAACCTTTGAAGCCTTAAATGGTTTCTGAATTTATTCCTCTTCTGTAGGGCAGGAGTTGCCCAATGTTGGCCACTTTAAGACTTGTGGACTTCAACTCCCAGAATTCCTCAGCCAGCATGGGAGATGAAGTCCACAAGTCTTAAAAGTGGCCCAAGATTGGACACTCCTGTGGTTCCGGTGAGGTGATCCAGTCCACCTCTGGCAGACCAGAAAGGAACTTCATGGTGAATCCAACTACCTTTCTTGGCCAACAAAGATGGAGCCCAGAGGAAGTTCTCTAATGCACATCGCATACTCTGGTAGTATTCAAAAAGTTTATAGGTGGAAAAAACACCCTTCCTCGGTGCTGTATATCCAAAGTTCATATCTGTAGAGGCAAATGTGTCTATCTTAGAATGTTTAATGACCAGAGTGTCAATCCTGAAGCTGACTTGACGAAGGCCATTTTGAGGATTCAGGGCTGCCACAACTGGAGCAGAGAGATGGGGGTGGGGAGTAGAGATAGCTGGGGTTTGTAGCCAAAACAAAATACTTTCTCTTGGGAACCAAGGACATTTCAGCAGGTGCATTTCAGCATATGCCAATCTGGCATATCCAATAAAGCTATTCTTTGAGGAATCTACTTGCCTTGGAGTTTTGCCTGCTGTGGGTATGTTACTTGGAGCCCTGACACAGAGATGAGTCTTCCCACTTGCTACCCAGGCAATGCCTCCCACAGGTGAAACCCTGTGGTTACCACTGTTAATGTTGCTATCCCCCAGACCCAAGTGGGTGTACTAACCCAACCTGGTTCAAAGAGGGTTCTGTGCAGGAATATTGAAATCTCATGAATTTTTAGTCTTTCTATATAGATAATCCTCAATCCTTTTGTCATTAAGCAGTGCGGTCATTCAAAGTTATTGCATGACCGCACCCCATTTTATGGCTCTTTTTTTTTTTTGCCATGGTCATTAAGTAAATCTGGTTTCCCCAAGTAACTTTGCTTCTCAGAAACTGGCTGGGAATATCACTTTTTAAAGCGATTAAAAGTGTAGATCACTTTTTTTCAGCACTGACATAACTTAGAACAGTCACTAAATGAATGGCCGTAATGCCCGATCAGTACAGATAGTCCTCGACTTACAACAGTTCATTTAGGGACCGTTCAAAGTCATGCCGGCACTGAACACAAGTGACTTATGACCGTTTTTCACAGTTACGATCTTTGCCAACATCTCCAAGATCACGTGATCCAAATTCAGATGCTTGGCAACCGATTCATATTTATGACGGTTGCAGTGTGTTGGGATCACCTTTTGCAACCTTCTGACAAGCCAAGTCAATGGGGGAGATTCACTTAACAACTGTGTTACTAATTTAACCACTGCAGTTATTCACATATGCCAAGAAAGGACATAAAATGGGACAACATTCACTTAGCAACTGTCTCACCTAGCCACAGAAAAGTTGAGCTCAATTGTGGCCGTAAGTCAAGGACCACCTGTAATGCTAATACAACAAAGACCCAATTGCAGCCATCACTTATTTTTACTCATTTTTCAAGGCATTTGTCCTTTCAGCCACACTGTATTTTCCCCCATTTATCAGTAAATCTGACTTCAGACTATATCTAGAGGGAAAATAAAGGGCATTTGTTTTTCAAACAAGGATTTCTATTTACCCTTAAACCACATCCTTTTAAAAGATGGCTTTTGATAATTCTGAGCTGAGTGGTGCAGCAGAAGACTAGGGGAAAAATGAGGGTTGGTACTTAACATACAGTCAGATTCATGCATTACTCCAGGTTGGTTCAAAATTGAATCCTGGAGGGGAAAACAAAGTATTCACATTTCTTATGCCTTCTTTCGTCTGGTCCTACTTACTTGTTGGTCGAACATAAACCTTCAGCTTTAAGCAGGGTTTGTCAACCAGATTAGGTGGAGTGGCCGCTGAAAGAAAGCAGAAGAGACAAAGCGGAGGAAATGCAGTTAGAACAAACCAGGTTTCTGCCACACAAAGAAGCATTTTGTGCCTTTCAGGTAACATGAAAAGGCTAGTTCTGAAAAAACTCAAGTGTTCCAGCAATTTGCATTTTTCTTTCTTTCTTTCTTTCTTTCTTTCTTTCTTTCTTTCTTTCTTTCTTTCTTTCTTTCTTTCTTTCTTTCTTTCTTTCTT